GAAGCAAATAAGTATAAACGGTGTCATTCATTTTGGAACGGTTTGATTTCATGAATTAAAAGAATTTTGAGATATGTGCAACACACAATGAAATTGAGCCCATAAGCATAAAAATCAACACTGTTCCAAATTAAATGACACAACCTTCATCCACTGGCAATTATAGAGATATATCAATTAAACAAGCAGCAGCATGGTAGGATGCTAAACATAATAAGAAAATTATATATAAGTGGGATACCAAAGCTATAAATGCTTAATTGTATTTACTAGCGTCCCGCGGAAAACTACAAAAGAAAGTTAGTAAAATATGCATGATATTATATACAAAATCTAATGCAATATATACATAAAAATGTTACTAGGGTTGGGAATTATTACAATACTGAATATTTACAACACCGAATAAAAGACGTGAGGTGGGAATTATTACAACAAACAACTATCTAATTAAACAATACAACCAATTTATTTACATCATCTAAGGATATGTGGCTCAACCAACCATTTCTAATAAGCTAAATCACATATGTAAAATAAGAAACAAAATTCAAAATAAAGAGACTACATCAAGTGGCTCAGTCAGCCATTTCTAACAAGCTAAAATCACATATTTAAAAATAATAAACAAAATTCAAGAAAATAAAGAAACTATATCAGGTGGCTCAGCCAACCATTTCTAACAAGCTAAATCACGTATGTAAAGTAATAAATAAAATTCAAGAAAATAAAGAAATTGCATTAGGTGGCTTAGCCAACCATTTCTAACAAGCTAAATCACATATTTAAAGACAAGAGAAATAGAAATAAAATAAATGAGAAAATTGCAAAAACCCACCTTTGGGGAAATGATGAATTTTCTGATTACCAAACTTTTTTCATAACACCCTCACAATTATGGAGTATGTTTTGAAATCTCAGCAAGAAGTTTCAAGTTTAAACTTTAATAGAATTTTGGGTGGTATATATCAGTGGATAGAAAGGTTGATTAGAAGCTTTTGGTTAAAAAAAAAACTCTCTTGCTCTCAAATAAGTCAAGGTTTTTGAAAATAAGTCTCTTGGTCAAAAATAAGTCAAGGTTTTTGAAAATCAATCTCTCTCCCTCAAGATTTTTTGAAACAAAAATTCTTTTAAACCAAAATTCTTTTCTCAAGACTTTTGAAACAAAATTTTATCTTTCCAAATTTTTCTCTCCTTTCTTCCTTTTGAAACAAAATTTTCTTTGGCTAGCCATGTGATATTTCCAAAAACATGTGGCTTGCCATGTGATATCTCAAAAGCATGTGGCTTGCCATGTGGTATGAGAGTCAATTTTCTAAAATTGCTAAATGTCCTAGACAAAAAAAAAAAAAAAAAAAAATCAGAAAAATATTTTTGAATAGGTCTAAAATAATTTGGCCAAAATGGATGTGTTGGAATTAAAGCTAAAACCCAACTTTTCTGCCGAGAAATTCATAAAATAATACATTTCAATTTTTATCATCGGGTGTTCAGAAGAAAGCACCCAAGTCTTAAGGCCGGTCAAAATGGGGTGTCTACACTTAGATCCTGAATTGAGGGGGTTCAAGGATCAAATTCTTGCCAGTAAGACTTTACCATCCGCTGCTAATGCCTATTCTCGGCTACTACGCTCTTCTTTGGGCCAGTTCCAACCCTCAGATTCTTGCCTGAAATTGGTTGTCACAGTACTATTATCACTTAAAATCTAGAATTTAAAACTTTTAAAAAGATTAGTCTTCGGTCGCATGTTACATGATTCTGAACTTCACCTTTTTATTGACAACTATACTCATTGTCTCATAGTATTACATAACATAGTAAAATTTTTTAAGGGTAAGTTTGTGAATTGGTTTTTTTAGTATTTTTTTACTTTTTACGAAAATGTGTTCAAAAAAATAAAGAGAATGAGTTGATTTTCTTATATTTGACATATTGACTTTTTGACTAAAAACTAATATTTCCAAACATAGCCTAAATATGATTGTAATCTTGCAATAGGGCAATTCCAAATCCCACGTCAGAGACTATTTAACTTCTTTCACACCCAAAGTCTCCTAGCTTTTGTACTTTTCTAGGTCTACCATCTAATTCTCTCCAATAGAATACCCACTCACCTAGTTCCTTCTTTATCTTTACTTGGTATACTATCTCCAATTCAATCACACGAATACAACTTGACACAAACAGGTCAACACAGAAAATTTCAAAAACGTAGGACAGAAGCACAGTTTGCTCACACCACAAATAATTATATCTTGATATTATATTATATAGTTATCTATGAATGTGCATAATATAAGCAAAATTAAATAGTTACTTTTTACTAAGTAAATCATGTATCTAATTCCCTTGCATAAATTTTTTAACTATAGCAAACATATATGATATATAATTACGACATTTGTCTTATCCTCCTTAACCATCTATAACACTTTTATTGAAGCTCGCCTCAATACTTGCCTTGCCTTGAGAGGCTAAAATAAAATGCATCAAGGCTTTGATTTTTAGGCTATACTCTCCAAAAGTTTTCACATCACAGTATGAGACATGCACTTTGTACACCTTTTGCGCATAAGCATATGATGAACACACGCATGAAAAGGTTGCCCTAGGCTCTTGTTAAACATAGTCTAGTAGATAGTTTAAGCATAAAAAGGCAAAAAATAAAAAAAAAAGAACCACTTTTGCAACTATCTTCTATAGGAGTAAATGATCAATCAAGAAAAAACACAAAGTTAATGCTCAAGTGAGAATTTCAATCACTAAACAAAGAATGCCAATTTCACTTTCAATGAAGGCAAGTTTCTTTCTATGCATGAAAATATTTAATGCTTCATGGAGAAAAGTATTTACACCTTCAGGTTAATTTTTATTTACTAAATATTAAATTTTGAAATTTGAAATGCTTAAGCCTCTAGTTTCGTAATGCCTCTAGTTTTGTAATTGCTTTTAATAACTTTGATAACTATAATTTTTTTAAGGATATAAGATATTTATGCCAAATTCTCAGACTTTAGGAAATCATATGTTGGCAAATGTCTAAGAAGTGTTAGTTTTATGTTTTTTGTTTAGTGATAGACATGGCTAGGGCTACAATCGAATTGAGCTATTCATGAATAGCTTGAGCTCGGTTCATTTACTAAATGACTAAGCTCGAGCTTGATTTTTAGGCTCGTTTATTAATTGAGGCGGGCTCAAGTAGCCCCAATCTCGGCTCGATAAGTCTCGCAAACTTAAAAATAAATTCATATTTATTTTTAATAATATATCAACAAAAATTATTATTTTATTTTATTTTTCTATATGCATTTGGTGTTTATGCAAATTTACATATTTGATAGATAAAATTTATTATAAATATTTTTTTCAAGCTCAAGCTCGAACTCAGCTCGTTGGCTCGAGCCGAGCTCGAGTTTCTCAATTATTTGATGAGCCGAGCTTGAGCTCATTTCCTTGAGCTCGACTAATTTTCAGTAAACAAGTTTGAACACTCAAAAGCTCTGCTCTGCTCGGCTCGTTTGTAGCCCTAGACATGGCTAAGAAATGACGAACACGTCGCAAAATGAGTGTCAGGAATGTGTCCGAAATAAAGATTTTTATTTTTAATTAACGACATGGAAAAAAGAGTATCCAACACGTGTCCAGAGTGTCGATGTCTGTGCATTAGCTCTTCAATCTCTAAATTTTGATCATTTCTCTTTTTAGGCATTCCATAATTCTTTGCCATCCTCAACAATGGAAGGAGGAGATTCCAATTGGCTGGTCATGATTGCAAAGTTTGTTGCAACATTAACCTTTTGTGTACTTTGGAGCGACTACTCTCAAAGAGTGCTTACAGTATTGTTCGAGAAAGTTTGCTTAATAGTGTGGTCAAATTTGTGTTAGTGTTTTTGATATGGTAAATTCTTCCTTCATGTACATGTGGTCAATTATTTGTGGCTTTTGATTTTAGTAGTAGTATCGGAGCTGTTAATGAATATTCTGTGTTTTAATCCTTTCTACTACAATCTCATCTTGATGCTGAGCAGCTTATGGATCTGATAGTGATTTGTTACTCTGGATATGAATGTGCTTGTTTACGAACGAGTACCAATAAGAATTTAGTCTTTAGAGTTGACAAGACATTCTTAACTCAATGTGTGTTGATTCAAATAATGAAGTGTCTTTAGGATTGGAGAGATCAATTAACCATTGAAACTTCGTTATTTTACCTAAAAAATCTTTTCAACTTAAGAGAGCTACACATTTTTCAATGGGTGGATAGTGTTAAATGGTGGCAGTGTGTGTGTTCAAAAGATTTTAGGATGGTTCAGGTTAATTCATATGCATTTCTTTATTCTCGGTCTCACTTGAAGTCAGTATATGTGGAAGTGGAAAAATAAAATATTAAATAGTGCTCAACCAATTCATGCTTTAAAAAATAAGTCCTTAAAACATCTTTGTATTTGTACAATTATAATACGAGTGTTTACTATCTAGGCAGTTCCTGTAATTGGTGAACCATTAATAGAGGAGTCCCTTGTATATTTTTGTGAAAGGTAAGGGATGGTAGTTTTACTTTAAAAACTCAAGGGGTATCCCCGTGATAATCATAAATGTCATGGGTGTTAGTGTAACATGCTGTTTTATTATCATTGTTGTGGGCGGGACCTGGGGGTTGGTAAAGAAGTCAAGCGTTCTAGTGGATTTATATGCAAATTTTGACTTGTACGAGTTAACAAGTACTGGTAGGGGTGCAACTTGGCCAAGTTTGGTTGGGTTGGAAATTTGTCCACGCGTAGCCTGAAAAGCTGAGAGGTCTATCTGCTTGAGATTGACTTGAGCAGACTCAAGCTTAACTAAATGAACTCGAGTTCAAGCTAATTGCTTGTATAGGAAAAGAAATTGTCACGACCCTAACCCGTTCCTAGAGGTTAGAGCAGTGACCGGCTAGTAATCATAGATTACCTACGGCTTCTTAACCAAATCAGAAAATATTTAAATAAGATCAGGGCCTGAAATGGAAGTAAAACAAAAATAACATTATCTATTGAGCAGTGCATACATGATATAAATAGAAATAATTAAAACAGTTCATAACACACTCATAATATATACAGACATTTATATTATACATCCCAAGGTCACATACACAATAGTACAAAATTTGACATAACCAAAGCTTAACAAAGCTTGACCAAAAGCTAAAGTTAAAGCCTCAACACCGAGGCGCATCTTCGGATGGTCTTCACAAAAAGGTTGACTTTAAGTAAACTCTAATGTCGATCTTTTTGATGCTCACCTACATATATAGGGGAAGGGGGTGAGCTAGAAGCCCAATGAGTAACATCAATGTAAAGGATTAATGAATGAGTTCCATATTTCATAATTACACACAATACGTTGTTGAGAGACATATTATTCAGAAATTTATCAGACTTTTCAAAGATTATCAGAGGATGGGATAATTCCCAATAGTATTAAAAATTAAACTTGACAGAACGACCTCTGGTCTAACATTTAGCAAAACAACCTCTAGTCCAATATATATATAGCAGCTCTACAGAACGACCTCTAGTCCAACTTATAACAGATAAGACAGAACGACCTCAGGTCCAACATATTATTCATAGATAATTCATTAAAGGATGCACGATAAATTATCAAATGGAAAACTCATTCATTCACAGCAAAACATCTTTTTCAAAAAACTTGTCATATCCTAAACAATCGGAGTTTCGTATATCTAGTCATTTTAGGAAATTCCTGTTTGAAAAACTTATCATATCATAAACATGTCAGAAGTTCATACATATCTTATCATTTCAGAAAATGCTTATCATATCGAACATTTCGTAACGAAAATATAGATTTCATTAACCTTTGTATGGCATAGCCATTTTCAAAATCATTTATACAAAAATGTCTTTACAAAGACATTATTCACCTTGACTAGTTTGATGTTCCACGTCGACGTTCCAACCTACACATTACACATATTGAAACATTATTTTATTCTCTTGATCGAATCTTAATTCTCATATTCTTTCTTCTCAAATAAACCAAATTCTTACTTTGCTTCTTTAACCAATTATCTTATGTTGGTTCTTAAATTAGCCATAATCATGCCTAAGAATGCTCAGAAAAAGATGAGGACGAAAAATACAAACAACATGCAATTTCCCAAAACATGCTAAAATAAGCCTGACCGCTCGAGTGGACTGCACTGTTTGCAAAAATACAAGATGCTTGCTATGTGTGCTCGAGCGGTGACTATACCGCTTGAGCGGTTTGTAAAATTCTAGGCTTCGAAATGCAGCAAAAATGGCATCAAACACATTTTCAAGACTTGGGGTCATGCATGGCTTACTCAAAAACATGGAAATACTTTGGAAAACACAAATACATGACCATTTAAAAATTATTTATTCAAAACCTCATCAATTTTGTTAGAATATTTAAAAGAGAAAGAGAATATTATATTATGCGTATATTCAATGTTATGTTAAATACATAATGAAGTAACAATGTATACAAGACTCTTTTATATAGGAGGAGAGAATCCTAAGTATGATAATCCTAAATATGATAATGAATATAATATGGTATGTATAATAGACAGAATATATAGTTATTATATTTAATATGCCGCCTCAAACTCAAGTAGGGATACCCACTTGAGTTTGAAGAGAGAAACTAAAACATGAAATAAAACTAAGAATAAAATAAAATATGGACAGATCTGAGGCAAATAAATTGCGAAATCCGAATGGGAGAACATGAGCGCTTGAGATAGATTAGAGGCCAAAGCTAATACTGGAAGATAGTTTATGGTCGTGTCAGACCGTTGTAGGAACAGGGTCGAAGCTAACGCCGAGACAATTTAAGGTCATGCTAGACTGTTGTAGAAACTGGCCGGAACTAATGATGGGATAGTTTAAGGTCATGCCGGACCATTGAAGAAGAACTGGATGTTAAACCAACAAACGTAACACACACATAACTTATGACGTGGTGCTGAATGGTGATGGCAACAGATGACATTGTGCGCCAGGGGACAACCTATGAGAAAGTGTGCCACAGGGCAGCTTGGGTTGTGCGCCAGAGGGGGCGGCTTGGATTGTGCACCAGAGAGAGCGACTTGGGTGGTGCGCCAAGGGTGACTTAGGTTGTGCGCTAGAGGGGGCGGCTTGGGTGGTTCTCATGGTATATCACCATGCTCACCAAAAAAAAGGTATAATACCCCCCTTCTTAAACTCAAATAGGTTTGAAGATAGAAACCTATTTGTGGTTGAAAGAGAGGAAAAACGGAGTGAAAATGAGATTTTGACATGTTATATAAAAAGAAATTTATTTTTTATTTAAAAAAATATAAAAACAATGAAAATAAAGGTGAGAGTGGTGGGAGGAAGGACATGCCTGTTCAAAAGTTGGAAGAAAAAAAAATGGAAGAACAGAAGAAAAAGATGTTCAAGAAGTGGATTGGAAGAAAAATAATAATAATAAATAAAATAATTAAGTTTAGAAAGAAAAAAGAGAAAGGCAGGGACTAAGGCTGCCCGAGAGAGAGCAAGTTTGTAGAGATGGGTTTTGAAAAACCAAGCAATAGAAACAAGAAAAAAAATGTGCTTTGAAGAGAGATTTTGGGAAGAAAAAACAAAAAGGTCAGGGAATGGATTCAGTTGAGGTCCGGCGGGCGGTCCAGGCAAGGCTGTCGCCTGCCAGTGAAGCGAAATTAGTAGGTACTTAACCTAGTTCTGATATCATGCTAGAATATTTAAGAGAGAAAAATAAAGAGAGAAAATATTATACTATGTGTATATTCAATATTATGTTAAATAATTAATCAAGTAATAATGTATACAAGACTCCTTTATATAGGAGGAGAGAAACCTAAGTATAGTAGTCCTAAGTATGGTAATGGATATAAACTTAAATAAAATCTTCATGCATGCAAAGATTTTCCAACTCTTTTCTCTTGATTTTCAAGACATGAAATTAAATGCATAAATCCACGCAATTAAGAGTATGAACTTATGGAAATTTTCTGTAAATAAACAAAAGACAAGCTCTCATGCATGCAATGCCAAAACTCAAATTAAAATGATGAACATAATGTAATCTTCCTAATCTTTTCATTATAGCTCAATTTCTTCATCAACTATCTAATTTCATGAATATAATCCCAAACCCTTTGCAATCTCAAGTATAATATAAAGATTCTACACAAATCAAGCAATGGGTTTCTCTCTCTAAGATGAGCTCTCCAACTCTCTCTCTAACCTTTTATCTTTTTCAATAAGAAAAAAGGAAGCTTTGAGGTGTCGTCAATACAACCATGGGGTAACTGGTTGCCGGCCTGATTTGACCCAACCCAGTGAAAGGGACCCACCACTGAGGCACCGATGGAGCTCAACCACACGCCACAGATGAGCCTAGATTTTGATCGAAGTATAAGGCGAGGTCTCTGTAGAGAGCTAGCTGCAAAACAACAAATTCGCCCCCCCTAGGATTCGAAATTGAGTCACGCCTGTGGAGAGGGATGCTCTCTCTCTCTCTAACTTGAACTCTCCCTTTTCTCTACACACTCCAGCACACGTAGCAAATGAATCCCCCTCTCTTGAATTTGTGAAGTCGTCAGCCAAATAATATACACACACACACTCAACACAATGCACACATGCACACACTTTGGGGCTCCAACACATCCATTTACATGCACACACAAAGGCTACAATCCTCTACACACCACTTCACAATAAATCACATGAGTAGGATTAGCTTAATTAAACCACATTTAGTCTTAATTAATCATAATTCCCAGAAAACTCAATTGGTCTATTAACCCCAATTAAGGCCCAATTAATCATAGTTAAGTTATCAATTTGAATCAAATTTTTAATCAAACTCCCAAAGGCTCTAAATATTACACTAAACTTATTAAGCTCATCAATTTTGCTTTCTCAAATCATTAAAGCTTTCAATTTCTAATCAGACTCAAAATTCCTATCAATAAGTTACACATACAAATTAGACATCTCACAAGCAATTCCGATTTAGAATAATCACAATTTCCAATCCTCATAACTTAATTAACTTAATTACTCAATTTAATCAAATCTTAATTTTACTAAACTGAATCGAATATTTAATTAAACTCCTATATAGTTCAATACATGAAATTAAACTGATTCAACTCATCAGTTTTACCTTCTTAAGCCATTTAGGCCTCCAATTTTTTATTCCGAAATAAATCCTTAGCAAAATCATATACGAATCAAACTCAATAATGCTCATAAATTCCAAAATTAAACCCGAATAATATGCAACTAAAATTCAAATCTCCGTAATTAATTAAATACAAAATACTATGCGTGGTGGGGTTGTCACAGAAATGTTGTTGAAATAGACCAAAAAAATAATCTCAAAACTAGCTTTCAGCAAAAGAGGTTTTTGTTATTCTTTGCACTTGCCGAGCATATCAGCAGGTCCAAGTCACGTGTAGAACATTGCTTAGTTGACATGTTTGGGCTGGTTTTAAATCAGTATCTAATAGCATGATTTCTAATATTCTCTTTATTCTAATAATAATGTGGACGATTTCGGGTTCTCCTCTCTGATCTCAGCTTTGATATCATTTTTTTTTTCTTGCAATCTGTAACAAGTTTTCGTGGATATATATATATTATTTTATGGTTTGGATGTTGGTATTGGTCAATGGGACTCGGGCGGGGTTTTTTTCAGATTGGTCGAGGATTATGGCAGGGTGATCCTTTGTCGCCTCTGTTATTTATTTTAGTTATGGAGGCTTTCAACAGGTTGATATCTAGAGCTATGCAGGTGGTTTGTTGGAAGGTTTTAGTGTGGGTGTGAAGCTGGTGTTCCTTTGGTGGTGCCTCATTTGTTATATGCGGATGATGCTCTCATTTTTTGTGGAGCTGAGAAAGACTAGCTTGGTTATCTTCGATGTGTCTTGTTATGTTTTGAGGTGGTGTTAGGTTTGAGGGTGAATTTGGCTAGTTTATTCCAATGGGGGATGTAGAGGATGTTAACGCATTGACAGCTATCTTGGGATGTAAACTGGCGGCCTTGCCAGTGTCTTATTTGGGTTTGCCTTTGGGGTTGACTTTTAAGGCAGTTTCAGTTTAGCGGCATTTGGCGGGGTGGAAGTGCCAGTATTTTTCTAAAGGTGGGAGGTTGACGTTAATCAAGAGTACGTTAGGGAGTATTCTAACTTATTTTATGTCGGTGCATGTTATCCCTGTTTCAGTGGCATGTCGATTGGAGAAATGGCAACGGGATTTTCTTTGGGGTGGGTTGGGGGTGGTGATGGTTTTATGTATCATTTAGTGGATTGGAAGATGATGTATAGGCCTAAGGAGAAGGGAGGGTTGGGGATTTGAAGCTTAGTGGTTTTTAATTGGGTTTTGTTGGGGAAGTAGTGGTGGCATTGTGGGGAAGTGACACTACTAAAAACCAGACATTTTGCGATGGTCTCAAACGTCGCAAAAGGTCCACATGTCGTCGCAAAACACCTTTTGCGACGGAGTAGCTACAGGAAATGAGGAGTGGCAAAAAGGGGCGTGACAAAAGGCATTTGCAACGGTTACAAACCGTCGTTTTCTTGTAGCGACAGTAAATCAACGGTTTTTGCAACATTTTAACCTGACACAAAAAAGTGGGAGAAACATCACTTTTAGTGACGATTTAGGACACAGTCACCAAAAATATTTTTAGCGACAATAGTTGACATCGCAAAAAGTATTATTAGCAACGGTCTTAAACATTGCAAAAAAAAGAATTAAATCAATAATATATTTGCAACAGTTTAAACCGTTGCTAAAGATGGCACTAAGATTTATATGCGACAGGAATCGACCCGTCACTAATAAAATGCAAGGAAATGATGATTACATAGTGACGGTTTATTACCGTCACATTATTCATTCGCTATACAAATTATTAATATTTTTTAAAATAAAATACATCCACATTCACACTCACAAAACCATATATACAAATAATAATATACATGTACCATGTAACCATACAGTGTCAACCAAACATTCTTTACAAAAATATATAAAACAAACTCCAACAACACTAATAATTTTTGATAATTCAAGAACTAAAATTTGTATTCAAAACAAATCAAAAGTATCAACAGTACAAATAAAAAAACATATATATTATAGCTTGTTTTAGTATCAACAGTAAACTCCAATATCAATATGCAAGATATTGCATACTCAAAAGGGTAGCATCTGCAAAAAGAAACAAAATATATATATATATATATATATACAATATAATCAATTTCAAACTTACAAAAAATGTAAAATATTTGATATTTATTTCAAAAAATAAATAAATAAGATTGTAACATATACATGAATCAAGCGCCACACAATGTATCTTCCAACAGTTTTTCCAACTATTCTTAGACCTCGGGATGGTGTTTCCAAATGAGCATTCAGCTTTTTTGCTTTTAAGACAAAGGCTTTGCAATATTCAAGCCCAATTGGAACTCATCAATTTCACACAACGGATCGTCACTGATAAGATATCCCTCCACCAATTGAATTATTGGTATACATGAACTATCCAAAGAAACTTTAATTACATCCTACAATGAACTATCCATGGCAGCCTCTAGTAGTTTGAATGTATTTTTCAAATTCTGAAATTCGCACACATAATAATCGCTACTGGAAAGCAGCCAGTAGGTAGAAAGCACCACTGAAAAATATGACATGTAAAACGAAGAAACTTCATACAATCTTGTAAAAAGTTCTGACTCCATTTGAAAGATTCAAATTAATTAACCAACATTAAAAACCAAGTTTTACGTGGACTAGGGAAGCATTTGGGCATTGTTACTTCCGTAAGGCGCTCAAATTTTGCCACATGAACACAATAGTCATAAAGGTGATGTGCTGTCAACATAATCTACTACCAAGACTTAAGAGTTGCTATTTGGGTGTAGTTGAGTAATTTTAAAACCAGATTAGACTAAACAGGTAATACATTGCACGAGTCCATCCATAAGTCACAATGCAAAAGGTTTGTACCACATGAAAGTTTATTATGTAACTATATATTGAGCAAGCACATTTGACCAATTCAGCACATAGATCTACTTTTCAACAACCATAGGCATTGTGTTAACGTCTAAATAAGTAGGCATCTAATCTTTTCTAGCAGCTGAGTCATATATTGTCTTTTAAGAATGACCTATTTCAAGGTGTGAGTAGTAACAAATTAAATCAAGAAAATCCTGAGTATCTCAAACAAACTTAACCAAAGCTCATATGCCTAAAGGTTTGAAGCAAAACAAAAAACCAATAGATGACGATATATACTTGTATCAAATCATGCCCAACCTTTAATATAATAGACGTTGCAAATTACAAAATCATTCACTGGTTTGCATCACATAAAAGAATTTAAATTTTACAATTCAAACTGTGAGTACATTTATTTTTATTTCTTTTGTACAAAGCATGCAATACATCATTTTCACTTTCTCATCATAAATATATAAATGCTTATATAAGCATATTTAGAGGATAAACAGATTTAGCAAAGTTGTTTGAGATGTGAACTCACTCATTCGGATGAGAAACTATTATGACACAATTTATGATGGTACAAGATATTAAGCAATTACACACTCAGAGAATTAACTTACAGTATAATTCTTAGCAAGGATGGTAGTCTCAGGTCCCAAATGATATTTCATTTAATAATAACTGCAAGGAAACAAATCAAATAAATTGCAGTGATGGATGGAATGGCACTATAGGAACCAGTCGGATTGTCCACTATAGGAACCAGCCTCGAAGAGCAGTGGCTCTGTTGTTTTGCACTCTTAGAAGTAGAAGTAGAGGGAGCCTTTTTTTTTTTCCTTTTAATTTTAAAATAATGCTTGATCTCAAGTTCAAAAGAAGCAGCCAAAGTTTGCTAGAGTGATATCTTATAAATAAAAATTAATTAATTAATTCTCTTGCTTTCTCTAAATGCACAAGGACTAAATCATTAAAGTTAACGAAAAACAAGATTTTAGATATTTTATATACATTATATCGAGTTCGACGGTTAAAATATAATTTTCCCATCATCTTTACTTAACGGAAATAGACGAATAATTTAAATTAAAAAAAAAATCAAAAGATTAAAATTTAAATTGATAAAATTAAAAATTCATAATTTATTATATTGAACAACACAAGACATTTTTCATTGATTACAAAACTTTTATGTTTTTTTTTTTGTAGTCAGCCATCTTGGAAATAGACCATTGAAAGTTGGGGCGAGAAGATTACCTCGACCCCCATATGAAGATTGTTTTGCTCTAAATACAGGTCCACAGATCTGAGAGCATCTTTGACACCTCCAGCTACTGATATATGATTATCTTTTATCATCACCATATCAAATAAATGCATTCTGTGATTCCACCCTCCACCTATTAGTACCTGTTAAGAGAGACAAAAGATTACCAAAAAGAATTTAATTAAGAAAGGATAATAGATACAGTGCAACTACGAAGGAGAAAGCCAAAATAAGTGATCCACACATCCCACTTAGTCCACTAGACGTAAGCCTGGAGCTGTTTTCCTTGTCTCTAAAATATATGCAGGGCGTGCAGCATCAGCCATTGCAGTGAACTGGACCTCCTCTGCTCGAATCATTGTAGGTGTCTTAACTTGGACAGGACTATGTAAGCCATTAGTCGCAGTCTATCGTCGCTTACAGCTTCAACAACAATCCCAAATTCAATATTGTCATAATTTGTATCTAAAAAATGTTAAAAGAAAAAATTAAGGAAATTTTAGATATTTAACTGACCTTGTGGACTTCCTTGCATGACCAACTACAACCTGTTTAAGAAATTATAATTTTTACCGTTATTATTGCACTCCATAACTAATCAAGACATAAGAATCATGTTATGAGATAATCATAATCTTATTAAATTGCATAAATTGAAGTAAGGTTAAGATGGTTTCGCAATGTGTAAGCAATCCACTAAATTCGCTTGAGAGAGACTTCGGTGATTCCAGTTCATGTCATGAGGAAAGGTATGGTACCATGTGGTTCAACCAAATATAGGGCCCTAGTTAGAATAGATTAGTGAAACAGGACTTGTGAGCGGGTCTACTGATATAATTGAGGCACAGTTGTATTCATATAACCTGTCATATGCAAGTTGGGTAGTTTTTGGATAGAACGGGGCTCCCGAACAAAACCCCTTTCCGGTCGAACAAATTCCATAAAAGCAAGCCAAATTATGATGTTATTTGGTAACCTTATATAGCAAAGTTTCTCTTTGATTTCCCTAGTAGTCTCGAAGTCAATAGTTCTATTCATCACATACCTTCATAAAAGAAGTTTGTACTCCAATCAAAACAAAAGTAATTACTAGTATCTATCTAGTGCCAAAGAAGAGGAAAATTTATAAAAAAGCCGAATGGATTAAGTTCATTTTATAAACTTCCAGTATCATAAGCTTGGATCTTCATAACATCCATCAAGTAGTCCCTAAGAGCTTAAGATAGGGCAAGTTTTATATCAATATCAACCAGTGAAAAACTATAAGCTGCGTGTTTCATGTCAATTCTAAGTAAGACAGATGCCACTTACAAAAAATAGTACTCTTAAGGAAATCATATACATATATTTGGATGCGAAGAGTTTAAGTAGAAGTCGAAGTTAAGAAATATGCACATTTGCCAATCATAGAATCATTCAATAGCTATTACCATACCATTAAGCATGTAAACATTGCTTTTGAACATCATGGCATCAAAATTTTCATATATTTTTCATCAAATGAACGGATAGCAGATACCTCAAACATAAACAAAACCAATAAAAATGTGCTTGCTGGATTTACTTAGCTCAAAAAAAAAAAAAAGTCAGTCAAGCTACCTTTGGAACCAAACCATGAGCTTTTCAAAAAAGTATAATATAATGACTTACACCATAAAAAGGTATTTGATTGGTTAGCCCACTTAGAGGGTTACTAAGAAGAAGGAAATCCCTTCATGGCACAAAATTTTTCAAACCCAAACATAAACTTCATAAGATGACTTAAAATAGTAGGCACCCATTCAGATAGTTATTTGTTCTCAATATTTGACAAAAACTGCCCACAGAGAGGGTAATTCTAAAGTTAAGGAGAAAAGAAAACCTCAGCCATAAAGGAAACCGAAAAAAAAAAGAAAAAAAAATAAGGGTTGAAGAATTGCAAGTGGTGCTACAGAACTTTGGTGAGAGTAACAACAATATCAATACATAGGAAGGCCCCAATAAATATGCATGACATTTAATAAAAACATAACAAGAAAAAAATAATTTTGAAAAAAAATAAATCTAACAAAGTCCAATTCACACAATGAAGATCAAACTCTGGCACAAAAACAAAACCAAACCATGAATTGTAATCACAACTCAGTTCTCAAATATATAGTTACAAAGGCAAAATAAGTCTTGCAGAGATATATATTATGGTTGCTTTTGTATGAAACAGGGCAATTATCTTTCTTTAAAAAAATTGAATTAAAAGATTATAATATGGTGCAATAATTCAAAGTCCTATAATCACATTCAGTGTGTTTGGTTTGAGTTTTCTGAATTAAATTTTTTGAAAACTGAGTTTTTTTGTTTTTGTTTTTAGTGAATATTTTTTAAATTTTAAACATTTTTTTTTACTTTTTTAGATGCACCTTAGTTAGATGTATCTAAAAAGTAAAAAAATTGTGAAAAAATATTTTAAAAAATTAATAAATACATAAAAATACAAAAAATGTACTGAATTCTTGTATTTTTTTATATTTTTGGTATTTAGTGAATTTTTAAAAGATTTTTTTTACAATTTTTTTACTTTTTAGGTGTATTTATGTTGGGTGTGTCTAAAAAGTAAAAAAATTTGCTTAAAATATTAAAAAAATTCAGTAAAAACAAAAAAAAATGAAAAATAAGAATGTGAAATTTTCTAAAAAGTGTTTTCTAAAAAATGCAAACAAGCAAGCTGATTACTCTTTTCAAAAATTAGAAAGTACTTCCTGGGTTTCTTTGGGGGCAATCTTGCTAATCTAAGCCTTTCTTTTTAAAACTTGATCATAGACTTTCAATTGAGCCCAATGAATTTCTCACATAGACCTCTTTGAAATAACCAAAGCCAAAAGGACATGGTTTCTTAAAAGAGCCTTGTTGGCCAACAGCTATTCCATAATCTCATTTTCTCATATTACTGTTGTCAGCACAATATAAAAAATACGGTTAATTACATCAAGACATCTCAATTATTAGAGAATATCTACTTACCTCCCATATCTATGAACCTATACATTTGACTAAAGATTTGAAGAAAAAATAGAACATGAATTTTAAACACACAATAGTTTAATAGTGAATAAAGAACACTTGACTTCTGTATCGATTCATAAAAATTTTCACTGAATAATGCTACTTTAACAAAGAGAATAAAAAATTTCACTAACATTGTAGGGTTATTAAAGCCAGAAATCTGCAAGGTTTTATAATCTCCAAGCAAGCTTGAGATCAATTTTGTAGGAATTTCCAATTCACCTTTTGAGATCAAGAAGTATGACCAAAGCCAAAATTTAATCAATATCTCAATCAAAACACAACAATCAATAGCTTAATCAATGCAGAGGCAATTCTACAGGGCTAGGGCATGAACCCTTCAAATTCAAACTTTACCAAAAATTAAAATCAAATACAATTGGACCAAAAACGAAAAGCAAATATAAAAGCAAATCAGATCTAAACTGAAAATCAAATTGAAAGGAAGTGCAGAGAACATAATAAGCACACAAGAATCGGCCTGTTTGATGAATAGGGTTCCGACGGTGCTGCCTTTGTCGCCGCTGCCATCCGGTGAATGAAACACTAGCGATCGGTGGACGGAACCAAACATGTCTTGCATTTTCGATTGAAGAAAGCAAGTTCTACTAGGGTTTCGTGAGTGAGTGAGTAGAGTTTGGATAGAGTGACAGCGTTTTGGGGTTAATTTTGGTTCCACAGTAGAGATAGAGAGAGTGAGTGGGGATGGAGAGAAAGAAGAGACGGTGATGTTGGTGATAAATCACAGAGAGTGTGTGTATGGGGATATAACTGCAACAAAATTGTGTGTGATGAGTAAATTTTTTATTTTTTTATTTTTTTTTGGTGCGTGAATTAAGAAGGATGTGTTAAAAGAGGAATGTGTGTGTAAATGGAACCTCCCGTCATGAAGTCACTTCCCATAAATTTTTTTCCAAATTTTCCTAAAATGACCTTAACTTTTTAAATAATTATTATTTTTATACATATCAGTTTGTAATTAAGGGTAAAATAATAAATTACAACCAATCCCACTTCTCATGATACCAACCAATCTCACCTCCCACGTTTTCAAACTGCTATACAGTTTTAAACAGTTTCGACATCTTCACCCCTCTCTCTATTTACTATAAAATCTTCCTTTTTATTTGTTCAATGATTTTTTTTCTTTTTTGTCGGGTGAAACACTATTTAAGAACATTGCAATCTTATGGTTCTCTTTATCTGAAATATATATCTACTGTTTATCCTACATTGTAAGTGTAGTATTGTTAATTATATTTTTATTTTCTTCAATAAAAAGTTTCATTACATAATTAGGTTCTTTAGAGAAAAAAAAAATATTGATTGAGAACACTATTATATTTTTTTTCTTTATTAAAAAGTTTCATTGTGTGTGTTTTTGGAAAAAAAAAAAAAAAAAAAAATCAGTGCTCATAATTTTACATTGTAAGTGTAGTATTGTTAATTATATTTTTATTTTCTTCAATAAAAAGTTTCATTACGTAATTAGGTTCTTTGAAGAAAAAAATATATTGATTGAGAACACTATCATATATATTTTTTCTTCATTAAAAAGTTTCATTGTGTGCGTTTTTGGAAAAAAAAAAACTATTATATATATTTTTTCTTCATTAAAAAGTTTCATTGTGTGCGTTTTTGAAAAAAAAAAAAAAAATCAGTGCTCATAATTTTGTGTGTGTTTTTGGAAAAAAAAAAATCGGTATTTTTTGTATTTTCATTAAATTAATTTTTAGGTTCTCAATATTTATATGTGTTTTTAATTAAACACTTTGATTAAACACTTTGACACCTATGTGCAATTTTTTAGAGACTTAAATAGTTTTGGATTTTTTCCTATTTCACTTTTTAAGCTATTGTTTCTTTTTGTGTATAAATTCAATTTTTTTATAATTTGATTTGTTTGTTTGTTTACTTATGTGAGAACACTATTATGTATTTTTGTTCTTCATTAAAAAGCTTCATTGTCTGTGTGTTTTGAAAAAGCTTCAGTGTTCTTAATTTTGTGTGTGTGTATTTTTGAAAAAAAAAATCAGTGTTTTTTGTATTTTCATTAAATTAATTTTTAGGTTCTTAATTTATATTTATGCAGGCTTCTTTGAATAATTTGGCACCATGTGTGTGTGAATTTTTTTAGATTAGACTTAGACTTAAGCACTTTGGGGTTTTTTTTTTTTTTTTTCCTGTTTTACTTTTTCAAGCATTTGTTTGTTTTTGTGTATAAATTTAGTTTTTCAAAATTTGGTTTGTTTGTTACTTAATTGTGTGTGTTTTTTAAAAATATTCAGTGTTCTTAAAAAAAACTCAGTGCTCTAAGTGGGATTTGTATTTTTGTATTTGTCTTTTTATGTAATACTGTTAATTATACTTTCTATAAAATGAAATGTTTCATTATGTTATCAAGTTATAAAAATAAAAAAAATAAAAAAATTGACTTTTATTTTTCTTCTTTTTATCAAAATTTGTGTTTGTGGGTTTATTATGTTTCCAAAAAATTGATTTGTTTGTTTCCTTAATTTCGTGTGTGCCTTTCTTTATAAAGATTTGTACATATTTTAATATATATATATATATATATATTTTATTTATCAAATATTAAATATATTAATATCAAATGTTACATTGCACATGATTATAGATATGTACATTATTTAAAAAAATGTCAATTTCATATTATAACTTTAAATGAGTTTGCACACGCATCGCGTGTGTCCGGCTGTTAGTACATATATGAACATTGAGATCGATGCCGGAGCAGAAGTGATTGCCCTATCTGGAGAAGACTATAACGTCGCTGTTAGGGTTTTGATTGAGAAACTGTGTATGTATTGTATAGATACAGTTGAAGAGAGAGAGAGAGAGAGAGGGTTTGGGAAAATGAAGGGAGGACGGAGGTGGACAGAGTAGTGGTGGAGAGGACAGAGAGAGAGAGGATTATGATTTGGAAAGGAAGAGAGAGAGAGAGAGAGAGTGTGTGTGTGTGTGTGCGCGTTACTGTGTGAGGATTTTTGTGTATTGACTTGTGAAGGAAAATTTTATTATTTTTTTATTCACAAAAAAGGCATTGGCAAAACTATTTTCTAGAAAACGGTTTTATCAAAATCGTTTCACCTATAATGGTAATAAAGTAAAAAAACACATCCTATAGTGGCATTAAAATTTTGAGAATGCCTTAGTCATGAAAATCCCCTAGGTGGACAAAGTAATAGCGGAGAGGACAGAGAGAGGATTAGGGTTTGGACAGGAAGAGAGAGAGAATGTGTGTCTGATCTTGTGAGGATTTTTGTGTATTAAACTGTGTATATGATGTGTAGGGTCCGTTTGGCAAGAAGGTTGGGATTGGGTTGAGATTATTTTAGTTATAAAAGATAAAATAAGTTTTTTAATTTAATAAAAATAAAATATCACATTCAAATCATAATCATTTCATTTTTTTCTCACAAAAGTTAAAAAAACAAAACGTCCATCCCAAACGAGGCTTTTTAACCCCAAACTAAGGGCTGGTTTGGGATCTACTAAAAAAGATGAAAAGCCAAAAAGTTACCTTATCTTTATGCATTGGGCGGCCAAACCATGTCTGACTTTGCAGAGGGTAAGATTGCGTTTCTGCCTGTCCTTTTTGTTGCTGCATCTGAGTCGAATATATCACAAATATACGTTATCAGAAAGCCCATTTCCTTCTCCAACCTCCATTTGCAAGAACGACAAGCAAGACAAAAACCCTCAGTCGGTTGAACAAGTCTAGTCCGTCAAAGACACACCACCCACTGCCGGAGATCCGTCACACCTTTCTCCTTGCACCACCGCCACAGCCATGCCAAAGGCAGACCTCAACGCGATTACCTGAAAACTGTAATCGACAGGAAGGACCATCCCTCGTCCAGATCTGCACCACCGCCGACCAGATCTACACTACTTCGGCCCGTATCTCCCAAAGAACAAGGTAACATCTCTTCCACGCCACTGATTTTGGGCATGTGAACCAATTCTGTACATTACCCCATTTTCGGCAATTTGGTAGGTGCAAAGAAAATCTTCGATTTTTCCTGAACCAATTATGTACATTTTCCCATTCAGAACCGCTATGTAGCTCGAAAATGAGCCCCTCAAATCGCCCAAATTAATAACTCTCTCCACTCTCACACTTCCACTTTCCAACCTTTTCTTTTCTTTACCTTCTTCATCACTCTCTCCTCTCTCCTCTGTTCCTCCACTTTCCTTTGTCTTTAATGGCTGCCCCATAACCTAACCCCTCTATCATACTATATGTGTGGGTCGATGTTTTAGCCTTCTGGGTCTCTCTCTTTTTGGTCGGTGAAGATTACCCACAAAGCCCTTCAAAAAATTTGTAGATTTTTTCTTCTGGGTGTGTGATGGTTTTGGGTATTTAAGGTTCGGTAAAGCTTTTGTTTTCTCAGATACCCATTGAGAAATTTTTTTCTAGTTTGACATTTTTTTTTCTTTTTCTTTTTTCTCCTGGTTATGTGATGATATGCTTGTAATGTTCACAATTTTTGGTTTGGATATTTCACAAAGCTTGAGTTTGTTGGGTCTTTAAATTCTCACTTGATGTGTCAACCATTTGGGTCTGTTTCTTTTTTGCTTGTTGAAAACATCTAGAAAACAAAATGGAGATTAGTGTTTCAAAACAATTGGGGCAAATTGGGGCATCATCACTGTGTATTTCCTGATTCAATAGAAGGTTTAAGGATGAAGATTTGACATTTGAAGGAAATTTCTTGAGTCAGTAATGGTTACTTGTTTCCGGCATCGTTAGCGTATGAAAGGAGTTGGCTCCAGTATGAGAGGGTATGACATTAATAGGACGATACGTAGTTTTTAAGTAAAAGGAAATGGATGGCAATTTAAACTACGAACAGACAAATATATTATTGGCAATTTTTTTAACTAAAAGGAAATGGATGGCAATTTCTTAAATAAATATTGTTATTTACCATTTTCATGTTGTCACAATGTTGCTTTTTGACATATGCCACAATTACTGTTGCATTGTAGTATCGAAATGGAGCACTCACAATCGCAATCGACACCTTTGAAACATTTGCGTAAGCGTGGTGGTAAACAGTCTCAACCGCAATCTGCAAATGTGCACAAAGCAAATTGGGACTCTGACACGGTGCGCATGTTCTTGCAACTTGTTATCAAAGAGTTGGACTCAGGTTTCAAGGGCAGCTTCCATACAATGACAATGCACGGATACAGGGCTGTCGCCAAGGCCTTCAAGGAGCGTACACATAAGGTCCATGATGTGAAGCAACTGCAAAACTAATACGCGTTACTAAAAAAGGATTGGCAGTCGTGGTCACGCCTGATGGACATCAGGCATGGGCCAACCAACATAAGTTACAATGAAGCAAGTGGTTTGATACAAGCATCCGACGACTAGTAGGCCTATTATGAAAAGGTAACAATCCCATATTCTTGTTTGTAACATCCAACGTGATAGTCATGC